AGAATCCACAAGGCCAAGATCTTGATTTGCACTTTTAGCCTCCAGGACTGTGAACAAATAGATTTCTATGTTTTAAAGTCACCTACATGTGATATTTGTGTCACAGCAGCACTAGATAACTAAGACATTAATGTTGTAGACAAGGGAAGCTACTCATACTAGATTAAAGGGAAAATTAGCATGTTCTGTATGATTTCTTTTTTTTTTTTCAAATGAATTCTATACTTTATTTATGTAATTTGTCCTATTCTTTCTTTTTTTCCCTAGTAGCTGTTGATCTATATGATTTCCTTTTGACTCCTTCTTTAGACATATATATAAACACATCAGTCTAGGTTTGGATATCTCTCCAGAGTGGGATTACAGGTGTTTAGACTTTTTTCTTTCTACTTATATGCATTTTATCATTTTAAAATAATGAATATTATACATTTCTAATAAGAAAATGACTTTTTTAAAAAAACTATTTTACATGAAAGCAAGCATCTTCATTGGTGTAATGGGCGAGACATTTGGCTGCTAACCAAAAGGTTGGCATTGCAAATCCACCAGCTGCTCTTCAGAAGGAAGATAAGGCAATCTACTTCCATAAAGATCGACAGCCTTAGAAATCCAGTAGGGGTTGCTATGAGTCAGAATTGACTTGATAGCAATGGTTTTTTTTTGTTTGTTTGTTTGTTTCACTTTACTCTGGTGGCTATTTAAAGGAAGACAGAAAAACAGAAATGACCCTTTAGGAGTTTATATTACTTCTCTTTGCTATCTCATACTGTCAAATGTTTTGTGTGTCCTTCTTGCTCTTATCCCTGCCTCAAACACCTTGGACTGGTAAATGCATGACCTGAAGTTCCTCCAGTTACTGATCAGTACTAGTTTTAAAGTCACAAAGTCCATAACAGGATCATACATGGCTCCCCCCACTGCTGTGATAGCTCTGTGATGACAGCACTTGCTGCCCCCTGCTTGGCTTTGGGGTTCACGACTATAAAAAGGCACATCTCTGCTTTTAACTTTCCAGTTCTTGAGGCATATCACTTTGAGATAAAACCATCCCCAAACCACTGCTCAGTTCTTAACCTTGAAAATTAATTTTCCCCCACTTGACATGTTTCATGACTGAACTTTGCATGAATAGCTTAGATTGTTGTCTTGGGACATGGCCCATGTCTCAGCATATATTCTACTACCTTGGCAAATACATAGATAACATATGCTATGAGGAGGGTACCTATAAGTTGTCCTTTGACACCCCCAAGAGTGCCCCAATCATCCTTTTTTCCCTTGGCATTTTTCTGGTATTTACAATATTCTTCATCTGGATGTTATCTCAATTTCTTTTTAGGTAAATAGTCTCCTTATCATTCACTCCTGTGTTCACTGTTGTTACTAGTGCCATTGAATTGATTCAGACTCATAGTGATCCTATGTGGCAGACCAGAACTTCCCTAAAGGGTTTTCTAGGCTGCAATCTTTACCACCAAATCTTTCTTCTGTGGAGCTGTTGGGTGAGGTCCAACTGCCAACCTTTACGTTATCAGCCTTAAACATCAGTGCTTAACCATTGCCACACTAGGGCTACTTCTTGTGTTCTTTAGGACTTATTTCAAAGGAGAGTCACAACTTGAATTATGGGGGCAGGGGTGGATAGGGAGATTTATGGGTTTCTGAATATATAACTGGACCTTTTGTTGCCAGGGAGACTGAAAATAGTTCTTACCTTCTATACTGCTACCCAGAAGACTGGTGGTTCAAACCCACCAATCACTCCTCTAAAGGAAGACTGGGCAATCTACTTCCATAGAGATACCACCTCGAAAACCCAAGGAACAGTCATTATGAGTCGGAATCAATTCAACGGCCGTGAGTTATAGTCTCAAAGGTAGTAAGACAAAGAGACAAAGAGGATCCTGAATGTCTTATGGGTAGCCAGCATCCTTTGCAGTTAGGAGGTGGGCACAAAAATAGGTCTGTCAATCAGATCAATCATGTGACCTTAAATTAGAATATAAGAGGTGACTTAGTCAAGACCACCAAATTCATCCTGGTGTGGCTATATCCAGTTCACAGAGAAAGCATTCTGACAGCATCCTGTATCCAGTGGTGGTGTTGCAAGCTAGGATATTCAGTGGCACAGTGGTGATGCTAATGATGTTATCATTAACCCAGTTCAATGGTGTGGATTTTCCACTTGTTCAACTGTTTCATTATAGTTTTAAAGAGATTATAAATAGCAGTTCTATCAAAAGTCCTTGATTGCCTTCATGGGGTCAACCATATTATGTACAGAATTTTTTTTTATATCTACATTTCTCAGAGAGGGACCATAGCTTTCCTCGGATTTAAGCAGTCTAAAAGATTAAGAAGCCTCCAATATTTCTCAGTGGATGAGCCACTGACATTTAGATAAGAAAGTTCATCATTGTTAAACAGCTCTGGCCCATACCCCATTAAATATCTGTAACCAATTCCCATCAAGTTAATTCCAGCTCTTGGCCATCACATGTGTGTCAAAGTAGAACTGTGCTCCATAGGGTTTTCAATGGCTGATTTTTTTTTTTTTTCCAGATCATCAGGGCTTTCTTTTGAGGTGCCTTTGGGTGGACTTTAATTTCCAAACTTCCAGCTAGCTACTTGCACCATGCAATAAGTTCCAAATTCATGGTGACAATGAACCCCTCCTCCCATATTCCAAAAGTTTGATAACCCAAATGTGACTAGGAATCTAGAGTGAAGGACCTCTCCATGTTTTTCCTTTCCTCTTCCCGTTGGCCCAAGGTAATCCTTTGATTTTTGACATATTTTAATGGCTATAGAGAATGACCTAAAAGTATTTTGGGTCTAATTTTATTGTAAAGAGCTATGATGGTGTTGTGGTTAAGGCATTGGGTTGCTAACCTAAAGGTTGGCTGTTTGAACCGACCAACCGCTCTGTGGGAGAAAGATGAAGCAGTCTGCTTCCATACATATTTACAGCCTTGGAAACCCTGTGGGGGTTGCTATGAGTTGGAACTGACTCAATGGTAGTGGGTGCGTGATGGTGGAATTTTTATTTTAGGGTTTTGATAGTTGCTCCAACATACTATGTACCTTCTGGATTGCTTCCAAATCTCCTTGAGCTCTCTAGCTCTAAAATCATCCCATCCTTTTGGAGATCTTTTTTGATTTAAAATTAAAATGCTTCATGATAAGGCAAAATAGACAAAAGGGCAACTCCTGGGAAATGCCCAATTATTAGTCTAGCCTCTTTAGGGTTTCCTCCTATGATCATCATTAAAGGACAAATACAAAGATAAACCGGCAGTCTGGAACTACTATGATCAGGTCTAACTAATAATAATAATAATAATAATAAAAATGACCACGAAGCAGCTGTTCTACACATTACAAATAATTTTTTCTTGCATCTGACCTTGTTGTTGTTGTTGTTGTTATGTGCCGTCAAGTTGGCCCCGACTCATAGCGACCCCTCCTTGAGTTTCCGAGGCAGTATTACTACGGAAGTAGATTGCCTCATCTTCCTTCCAACCTTGCAACACCTAAAACAGGATTTCCAGTCTCCTTTTCTACAGATGAAGAAATTGAGGCTTCTAGGAATCAGGTGATATATACCCAAGGTCACACAGCACTTCACAGCTGGACTTGACTCTGAGTCTCATAAATTTAAATGCCACTCTGCATACTGCCTACTTGATGCCAAGCACACTTTTAAAAGAAGGAACAGGTCCTACTGGAACTAATCAGAAGGAGGGACTGGAAGTACAAATGAGACATAAGCCAGCACCTGTTATTTTGTTATCTAAGTGAGTGCTGGGAAGCTCAAGAGGAGGTTGACATTTATATTATTTATGTACCCTATAACTTCACTCCTGAAATGTTACCTACGGCCATCTCATTTGAACACCTGGCCAACTAAGAAACTAAAAGCTGACAGCAATGGCTCTGTTCTTTTAATTGTGTGCCTTCTTAAATTAGCTTAACTAAAGTAGTGCTTTAGATTGGAAGTGGTTAATTGGATAAAGAGGAAGGAGCTCTGGTGGCACAGTAGTTAAGGCATTTGGCTGCTAACCGGAAGGTTGGCACTCCTTTGGAGAAAGGTAAATCAGCTACTTTCCTAAAGAATTACAGTCTTGAGGGATGGACACTGGGAAGAGGTAACTATGGGGAGGAAGTGGGAGGGGAGCTGTTGCATTGTGGTAAACTGTGGTCAATGACATGAGACAAAGTATATGTGAACTGCTGTATGGAAAGTGAATTTGCTCTGTAAATCTTCACCCAAATCACAATTTTAAAAAAATTACAGTCTTGGAAACCTATGGAGCCGTTCTACTCTGTCCTATAGGGTCGCTATGAGTAGGAATTGACTTGATGGCAGTGGTTTTTTTACACGGATAAAGGGGACACATTCAATTAGGTAAATAGTACTGTTAATGTCCGGGCTGAGTAATTTACAGAAAAGGAAAGCATAAGCAGTTCCTACAATAATGTTTTAATTATAAAGTGAAGGAAACTTCTTCCACTCTGTTTCAGTTCGAGGACCAGTTGATGTGTCGCAGCAGATCAGAGAAGCATGTGGGCTGATAGGAAGTCCCCGTATTTTAAGGCAGGCGTGAATACTAAACTTTCTAGTGCCAAAACCGTTCAGTATCAATATTATAATTTTTAACGAGGACTCCTCGTGGTCTCGTAAATATCTGAGCTAGGAAGAGGGTGACAGTAGGAGAGCAGGGCTGAGTCCGTTCTTACTAAATTAATAACTAAGTCTGTACCCTTGAAGCAAGCGTGGAGAGAGGAGGGAGACGAGCTGCTGACATTGACAGTGAATCCAAACAAGAGTTGCACTAGCGGTGTCCACCACGTTGCCTCTCCCCCCTGCCTGGCCTTCTGGGAGTTGTAGTTTTCTCGGGAGCGGCTCCCCGGGCGAGCCAGGAATGCCTCACGCGGGCCGAACTACAGATCCCAGGCAACGTTCAGCCGACAGCCCCTCCCGCCTGGGTGCAAGTGTAAACTCGCAGCGCACGGGGCGGGCAGCCGCGCGCGGGCGAGCGGGCTGAGCTTGACGCTGCTTGGGGGTGCACGGCTCTGGGGATCCAGGCCCCGCCACCTTACCTCCGCCCCCGGGCTCTAGTCTCACTTTCGAATAGTGGAAGGACGAGAAGTGGGAGCCATGCAGTCTGAATCCGGAATCGTGCCGGATTTTGAAGTCGGGGAGGAGTTTCACGAAGAGCCCAAAACCTATTACGAACTCAAAAGTCAACCCCTCAAGAGCAGGTGAGTGGTGACAGCTGGAGGAATGTTCGGCGGACGGCTGGGGGGGGGGGGGGGCGTGCCTTCTATCTGAGGGCGAGGAGAGCCGGTCTCTTCGGCTGTGGGACAAGGACCCTGTGCCCTTGCCCCGGGGCAGAGGGCGAACTGCCCCCCACAGCTGAGGGGCTACGCCGGCCGAGCCGGTGCGCGTCTATGGGGTCTCAACCCGGGCGCGTTTCTGAGCGCCGCGAGACGCCGGGGATGTCGCGCCCAGGCGCGAGGACCCTCGTCTGGGGATGCCAGCTGTTGAGACTGAGTGGGGGCTGGGGAGCGACCCGGCGCGGAGGTGGGGGAGGAAGAGTCCTGGGCCAGGATGCTGTCGCTGTGGGATGAGGGGAGAAAAAGAGTTTCTAGTGAAGCCCATTTCTAAAGGTTCCAGCAGGCCAAGGCTCGGAGAGGGAGAGCTTGGGAGGGTTGAGACGCGACGGTCAGGGGAAGCAATTAGTTCTGCTGAGCTACCAGAGCTCCCTTGAAGTTGCCTGTGAGGAGCCCAGCCCCTCCAGGAAAACCCGCCCCTGATCTCCTCCAGGTGAGCTTTCCCTGAGCCCGCCTCTCACCTTCTATACTGTGGCTCCTGAGCACGGGCGGGGCCTAGGGCAGCGAGTGGGAGTGTCTCCTAGTTCAGGTTCCACTATCTGGAAATTGTTGTGAGTGGGCGCCGACTGTTAGCGATCTTATGTACAACAGAACAACTCTGCCGGATCCTGAGCCATTCTCGCATCGTTGCTGTATTGGAGCCCATTGTTGCAGCTCTGTCAGACTATCTGTTTGAGGGTCTTTCTCTTTTTCGCTGGCCCTCCGATCTGGTGCCGCAGTGCCTAAGGCATTTGATTGCTAACCAGAAGGCTGGAGGTTCAAACCCACCAGCCACTCCTCGGAAGGAAGATCGGGCAGTCTATTTCTGTAAAGATTTACCACTTTGGAAACCCAGTGGGGTTCACTGTGAGTCGGAATTCACTCGATGGCAGTCGGTTTGGTTTTTCTGCTTTAGTAAGCATGATGTCCATCTCCAGGGACTGTTTGTTCCTGATAACATGTCCAAAGTAGTGAGACTTACTTTACTTAATATATAAAGCAAGATACTTACTTTAATTTCGTGGAAGTAGAGAAAACAAACCAAACTCAGTGCCTTTCAACTCACAGTGACCCCTCCTTGGTTTTCCGAGGCGGTATCACTACAGAAGTAGATTGCCCCATTTACCTTCTGAGGACTGGCTGGTGGGTTTGAACCTCCAGCCTTCTGGTTAGCAGTCAAAATGCCTTAGGCACTGTGCCGCCAGAGCGCCCCTGTCCCTGTGGAGGGTTATTGGGAGTGTCCCATTCCTGGCAGTGGCACACATTTAATTCTTTGTGAACTTCAGAAACTTTCCTGGAGAGGAGTCGAGATAACCCGCTAGCCTGACAACTCGCGCTACCTCAGTGCTCATTTCCTTTGCGCCACTCACCTTTGCTACCTTCTTTCCATTTTTTTTGTCAAAATGGATTGGGTGTCTTCCTTTCTCTTTGCCCTGAGACCATTCTGAACTCCCCCAACTTCTCATTTCCAGTGTTTACCAAGAGAGAGGATGGCCAATTGAGGCTGTGATGGCTGAGAAGGATTTACTTCCACCCCTCTCGGTTGTCCGGTTGTGTGATAAGGCTGTAACTGGAAGCTTTCAGCAATGCCTTCCTGTCCCATCCCTGTGGGTAGGACCTGGGAGGACCCTGTTAAGTATTACAATACATAGGGGAGAGGGCCCAGAAATCAGGGTAAATGAAGACGGAAACGAAAGTGAGGTGTATAATCTTTATCTGGAGAGCATGGGGCTCTCTAGTTCTAGTGGAAAGCCAGGGCAAGGTTTGTTTCCTTTAGAGCTGTGGCAGGACTCTGAAATCCAGTTGGGGAAGAGAATGGGACCAGAGCACCCACTGACTGTGTTGCTGAAGCAGCTTCTTTGCAGATGCATAAGGGAGATTGAAAGGAAACATCTTTGCAGTTGAAAGCCTAAAACGAACCTTTAGTTGGTGGTTTCTCTTCATAAAGACTGTTTTGTGTCTGAGCATAGATTGTGTGTGTTGGGAGCTGGGGGTTTTGAGTAATATTGTGTAAAGGGTATTGTTGGTTATGCTCATCTAGGCTTTATCTGCATTTGGCTGAAGGGACCAGTGTTTTACTGAGCAATCCCTGCTTTTGCTTCTATAAGCAAATGCTTACATGGCCAGAATGAGGGAGCAAGTGTGTGTGTAGTCCTGGGAAAAAAAAAATGAATTAACTGGACTGTTTCTAACATTTTTGATGATAGTTGATATATAACATTAAATTAGTTTGAGAGACTGAAGAAAACACCATCTGGAAAAACACAAATGAGTGCCACAAAACTCATGTTGAAGGATTTGGGCCTGTTCTTTTTCAGAGTTGGCAAAAAAATTACTTTTAAGAGTAAGTGTCCTCAATAGCTAGTGAGCACGTGTAATGAGGAATGTGGGTACGTGGGAAGAAATGGCTTCACACGTTGAAGCTGGAAACAGGTGTAGGACAGAACTGGTATGGGGAAGAAAGCTAAATTAAAAAAGTTGTTGCAGAACTTGTATGTGGAGCAGACACATGCTATTTGAAATAAACCAGTTAAATAAAATCTGTGAATAAATATATGAGGTTGGCAAAATTTCCCTATACTGTTTTCCACAGTTTTCTAACGTATTGTCATCGACATCTGCTGTGCAACTTTAAAAGGGCTGCATGTTGCTTAGGGCCTTCTCATTACTTTTTGCCTTAGGTCTTTGCCAGGGCATCTCACTGTTTGTAGGTCTTGGTTTGAAGAATTTAAAATTGAAAGATTAAGACTGCTCTAACCATTTTGTCTTCCCATTGTATCCTTGGATTATCTCCTTGGAGTTGAATGTCTGGAATCTGGCCACTTTTTACCAACTCCTCTGCTACTACTCTGGTCCAATCCACTATCAGCCCCCACCTGGTTATTGCATTGGTCTATTACCTGGTGTCCTGCCTTTGACCTCACCTGCCTTTAGTGGATTTTCAACAGCAGCCTCAGTATTCTTATTAAAACTAGTTTTTACCCAGGAGCAACATCTGATGATATTTGGAGATATTTTTGGCTGTCACAGAGTGGGGTAGCTCCTGGTCTCTGGTGGCTAGAGGGAAGGGATGCTGCTAAACATCCTACAGTGCACGGAACAGCACCCACAACAAAGGGTTATCAGGCTCCAAATTTTCAGTAGTGCTAAGGTTGAGAAACCCTGTGTTAGATGAATCATTTCCTACTCAAAACCCTCCACTGGCTCCTATTTCTTTCATGGTAAATTCTGATGTCCTTTAAATGGCACAAGGCAGCCTGTAGGGTAAGCTCCCTGTTGGCTCTGATATCATCACATATCGCCCTCTCCTATTCCCTCTGCTTTAGCCAGGCTGGTCTCCTCGCTGTTGCTAGAACACTCTTGGCCCCTGTACTCAGGGATTTTGGATATTGCACTTGGCTATTCCCTCTGCCTGAAGTCCTTTCCCTAGAGGGCTGTAGCACTCACTTCCTTACCAACTTTATATCTTCTTTTAAATGTTATATCCTTGTTAGCTGTACCCTGATCGGGGTTCTTTACAATCGCTATCCCTCCATGCTCTCAATCTTGCTTGTCTTGCTCTATTTTCCCCATAGTACTTAGTCTAACTAACTGTATAATTTTCCAATATGTTGTGTTTATTATATGTCTCTCCCCTTTAGGATGCATGCTTCAAGGGATGGGGGATTTCTATCCATTACTTATTTACTGATACATTCCCAGAGCCTAGAACGTCATCCTTGGCACTATTGTTATTTTGGGCTGGATATTTCTTTGTTGTGTGTGTATGGGTGTGTTTTCTGCTTTGTGGCTGTTTGCTGGTATCCTTGATCTATACCTATGAGAGGCCATTAGCACCTCCCTCCCCACCCTCTATTGTGACAAAATAAAAGATGTCTCTAGACATTGGCAGTTATCCCCTAGATGCAAAATCATCCCTGTTTCAAAACCACTGGCTTAGGACAATGCCTGGTACAAAGGGGCTCAGTAAACGTTTGTTGTTTGAATATGTTGTTCTTTGTGTTAGTACCCAACTCAGAGTAAGGTGCTTGGTTTTTGTACCTAACATTGTGTTTCTTTTAGAATAGGTATCCACTAGGGTCTCTGTAGAAAGGAATTTGTGAACCCTTTATTTTGATTAAGCCCAGATATTAATTGCATGAGGGAAGACACATTTCATTCCTAACCCAGACCTCGTTGCCTTTAGAAATTTGAAATTGCTGGATTTAGAGTATGTGAGCCTCATTTTGGTCATATTAACTGGCATGGTTATGTCATGTGAAGACACACGCTAGGAGTTGTTACTAGCTGCCTTCAAGTCCATTTCGACTCATAGTGACCACATGTGACAGAGTAGGCTTTTCTTTGCTATAATCTTTTTTTTTTTTTATATTTTTTTAAAATTGTGATTTGGGTGAAGATTTACAGATCAAATTCACTTTCTATACAGCAGTTCACATATACTTTGTCTCATGTCATTGACCACAGTTTACCACAATTTGGCTATAATCTTTACAGAAGCAGATTGTCAGGTCTTTCTGCTGCGCAGCCACTAGGTGAGCTCTAATCGTCAGCCTTTCGATTAGCAGCCAAACACTTAACCATTTGTACCACCAGGGCTCCTTAGGAGAACAGACTCTAAATGAGAATTTTTTGTACTTTGGTACCCCCAACAAGGGTTTTGAAACCCTTGTGTGGTCTCCTGGGAATGAATTCTGAATGGTGGTGGCAGAGGAAAAGTGCTGAAGATCAAGAGTGAGCCCAGCATTCACATACTGGCACAGTCGGAGACAAATTTGGAACTGTTGAGTGCTCTCCTTGTAGCTAAGAGAGTTTCTGTATGACTTTTCAGCCTTAAAACAATGTTTTAAAACTTGATAGAATCTTTAAGCCTCATGGTTCTTTTGTTT